GAGAATCCGAGGGAATCCAAAGGAATCCAAGGGAATCTGAGAGAATCTATATATTTAATGTTCAGTTTCTGTCTGTGCCGGATTAAAGGTTAAAAGCCAAGGGTCAAGCGTTAATGGTCATATAATGCTATAAGGGGAAGAAGCCAAGGGCTACAATACCAAAGATCCTGATGGGCTATTATATGAAGGTACCCATAGGTTCTCATGGTTCATGATATGGAGGTACCTATAGATCCTCAAGGGTTATTATATGGAGGCGCCCATAGGTACTTATGGGCTATCCTACAGAGGTATCCAAAGATTCTTAAGGGCTATCCTATGAAGGTACCTATTGGTCCTTAAAGACCATTGTGGGAGGGGTACCTATAGGCTCTCAAGGACTATTATATGAGGGCACCCATTGGTCTTGAAGGGGCGTTCTATAGGGTACCCATAGGCCCTGAAGGGTGTAAGACAATAAAGGGGTAAGGCTACAAGAAGTACAAGAGATATAAAGGCTACATAGGCTATAAAAATATGTGCGGTGCAACAGTATTAGGCTGTAAGACTTTGATCTGTACACATAATATCGCGTATCTGTATGTCTATTATCTGATCAAAAGTTAAACGCCTGAAGACATATGTTAAAGAGGAAACGAACCGTACAGTATGCATGGGTTCTCGCTAGTCCTATACAGTCTTGAAGTCTTCAGTCCTTAAATTGATTAATTTGCAGAACACTCCTTTATCATACGTATTGAGTTAATGGAACACATCTAATAACATTTTTCATAGATACTTCATTCAGAAATTTAGCTTTCAACCACGGCTAGACAACTTTATATGTTTTAGTCTTTATTTTAGGTTTCGATTAGGTAACAGAAGATACAAAAGAATGTAGCTCATGAATAATAAAACCCTGGAAGTCTTTGAATATAAAGGTATTTTAAAAGTCTCAATAGTAAAAGAGGGACTGACGATTATTGCCACTCCTGCTTTGATAAAATTACATATATATAAAAGCAATAAAAAAAAGTGTTGAAGATAAGTTCAGAAGTAAAGAGTTCGTCACTGATAATAAACAAATCTACGGTACATCCCACAAAAAAATTTTTAATGAATGATGAAGAATCAAATTAAAAATTGATTATTAAGGCACTATTATACTCTAATTTTTATCCGATTTTTCAGCCTTTAAAGACGGATTCCATTCGATTAAATCTTTTAAAATCTATTTCAATTGATCTATAAAATTAAATCAATTATAATTATTATAAAAAATCGATTTGAATTAATTAAAGTTTTCTAACAAACAAAAGTAGATTAAAAAAAGATTAAATAGGGTGAGTGTGGGTATGGGTGCAATAAGAAAGACTTACACCCACACCCAAGAGAATCCTATGGAATTCAAAGGAATCTTATGGAATTCTGTGGAATCCAAGGGAATCCGAGGGAATCTTAGGGAATCCAATGGAATCCAAGAGAATCCGAGGGAATCCAAGGGAATCCGACGGAATCCGAGGGAATTCAAGAAAGGGATGGGAACCCTGGAATTCAAGATTCCTGGATTCCACTATTCACCCCTTGCCTATAATGTTCGTTCTGCAGATAAACTACTTTATTCTGTTGTGTTCCTGCACATGCTGGAACAGGACAATCTCTGCTTAAGACGCAGGATCGCTATGGTACCCGCATGACCTCGTTAATTGTGATTCGATGAAGTTCAGATCTATCAGTGAGATTCGTCGTAATTTTTCATTCTTATTAATACAAACAGTATGATGTTGTGGACGTTATTGTATGAAAATAGTTTTGAAAATGAGAGCACGAGCGTAACAGTGAAGATAAGAAGATAATAGGAAGATATAGTTCAATACTTCTTAATTTAATCATCTTCATCGGTTCTTCCTTACGAATTATAGTAATGTTGAATATGAGGGTGTGGGTATGGATGTTGAAAGAGCCGACAGGCATGACCACACTGTCCCACCCTAACACTCTGTAAATGATAAATGGAAATAAAAATTGTTGTCGGTGAATAATATTAGTGTAGACAAGGAAAAATTCAATAATGATGAATCAATAAAAATACGATGCTGATCAATCCAATGTAACCTTTCCCTCAACTGAATTGGCTTCCACTTTGAAATAAGATCTTTTTGAATTGATTTAATTTACTAACGTGCGGAGGGAGTTCTGTGAAAATTTAAAGTTTCTCAAAGATGTCCTACAACTTCGTAAAATTTTGCACAAGAAAAATGAGAATGAGTAATATATGTTTGAAGAACTATGTGACATTCCTTTTCATCAGAATCTAATTGAAAAAAAACGAGATCACTTTTATCAAACAATATTAGGACAGGTTATACTGACGTGATATAAGATTTCGTCATATTGTTCATATTAATTCTTTGAAATTATATCACCTGTCAGATATAAAGTGATATGCTTATCGATCTGAAAACAAATGATAATAGTGGTGAAATATTATAAGTTTCGTTTTGTTTGCCTTGATCTCTGTCCCGCTTTTTGCATGTGAAAATTTTCGCTCGTATCAATATTCAATCTCAAAATTATATAGGTTGACTTCATTTCTTTTCTTTGTCATTATGAAATACTTATTGTTCATCTAATTTTGAACTAGAGTCTAAACTAGTCAATGACTTGAATTTTATCCTCAATCCATTACTAATTTGGAATTCGAAGATCTGGTTTTTCGACACATGTTTATATTTTTACTCACAAGAATATGTGGTTCATTGTTTTTCATTTGTGAAGTTCAGTGCATTCTTCAATATTATGAAAATAGGATCATTAATTAACGTTGGAAAATTTATAGAAGAACACAATTATAGAGTAACTCGTACAAAAATGAATTCTTTATATGTTAAAAGTTTTTCGATCGTTCGATTTCATAATATGCATAAGAAGTCATATTACATTCAGACAATATCAGCGTAAAATCGATTAGCAGTGGTGGTACCTGAGCCACCTAATATCAACCAAAATGAAATTTTGTAAGTATATCCAATAGTCGTTGGAAATGATTGACCAAGAAAGTCAATACCCGTACTAGCGTAGCAGTTGTCCATAAAGCAGTTACCCGTTGTTGATAAATAGCACCCTGTACCAGAGTTTATCACTCCGGAATGACCACTACACATGTTCGTACACCATTGAACCCAGCCTGTGGCTGTTGTAGTTGAATTTTCAAAGCCTGGATTCTTCAGCAATTGAACTGTGATCGCATTATTATCAACAACGGATACTGTATCTAGATAGTATTGACGATTGTTTTCATTTTGAAATCCAAACATTATAATCGCTGATGTAGTTGTCGCCGTGTAATTGAATTGATATTGAGTCCATGAATTTGGAACTGAGCCACTGAGAGAGAGCAAAGTGCCACGACCAGTTGGAGTACACATTGTTGCTGAAATATTATTTTTAGATTAGACATAAAATATAGTCACCAATATTTACTCACTTGATTGCGTTGTAGTTGTTGCTGTGGTTGAGCTTGCAGTGATAGTTGTTGTTGCGACTACAATCAATAAAATCAATCTTTCTTGAAATATTATTATATTCTCATGCATATGACAATTCTACAATTCTTATGAACTAAATATCTGTTCCGTGAATAAACTATATCGTTAATAAGAAGTGAGATAAGTTACGCAACGTCTTTGAACTCTAGGCTCTATAAAAAAAACCATTACATACAAGTTGTACTAGTTGATGTTGAGCCTAAAAAATAGATATAAACAATTATACATAAAACTAGGTATTGTTTATACTTGTGCTGGGTGTTGTTGATGTTGTTGAAGTTGATGTTATTGAAGTTGTTGTTGTTGATGTTGATGTTGATGTTGTTGAAGTTGTTGTGGTTGCTGTTGATGTTG